TTAAAACACCTTTATTTTATCATGATCTTTAAGTATATTTTAGCAAAACCTTGGAAATGTGTTGTTGGCTAACTCAATGTATATAAAACATCTAATTTTAATCAGCAACGCCAGGCTTCACTATCAATCATCCAAAGCAGACCTTTTTCAATTCACATATGCATGTTAAAGTGTATCATTATATCAACTTCTCAGTTTTGAATTTAAGGCTCTGCCACTTTATTTCTTACTGATATTTTCTTCAATTTGTTCCATGGGATACTCCATTAGGAGTGCATTCTTTGCCAGTAGATAGGATTTAGAAGAAGGAAGATCTCTAAATGAAACTTGTCATCACTTCCCACACTTTCACCCTGTTATATGATACATATTTATTTAGAACATTCTAACACAGGCTGAAGTGCTCCATGTTTAATATTCACTTTCTCCTGTAAAAGAATGTTTCTTTACAAGAAAAGACAGAAAACACTGCTGCTGCTATAGGGTGCTACTTTAGGTATGTTAAAGAAGGTTTTGCCAACACCCATATTTCTTTTTTTTTTTTTTTGCAGTTTTTGGCCAGGGCTGGATTTGAACCCACACCTCTGGCATATGGGGCCAGTGCCCTACTCCTTTGAGCCACAGGCAGCGCCCAAACCATCTCTATTTCTAATGTCCTCAAGGTTGAGTCTGAATATAATCAAACTTGGAATATAATCAAATGTGGAATCAGGGCTTAATGAGCTTGATATGAAAATCTGTGCAAATGACATGCAATTTTTTTTTTTTTTAAAGGCAAAACAGGCTGACTACTAGCTTTCCCTAGTCAGGGAACAAGGGCAAAAAGGCAGCCATTTGCTTCTCCTCCAAGGTTTCTCCCACCTTGCTGAGAAGCTCAACTCAGGGTTCAGATATTAGGAGATATGGGGAGGTGGGGGAACAGAGGGTAAGGAACACACCAGCAGGAGGTGTGTGCAGCTGGTAGCCACTGAGATCCCAGCTGGAGGAAGAGGGACCTGGCACTGAGGTCTATTGGTTGTCCAGCTGCTGCCCCAAGATATGAGGGCAGGTGGTGATGGAGAAATGGAGACAGGAGGGGAGAAAAGTTCCTTCATAATCTGGCCTGCCGGGAAGAAGTCCCCCCAGTGACCTGCTCTATACTGCAGTCAGACCTGGCTAAGCAGGAGGAGATTACCTGTGCTCTCATCTCTATGCTGTACCCCTGCCCTCCAGGCCCACTGGTCAGAGAGGCGACAGCTGGGGCCCCTTCCTTCTGCAGAATAAAAATGACTCCCCCTTCCTCTTAGGGCTGGGAATAGACATCAGATGGCACAGCCCACGCAAACTGCCGGCTGTCAGCACGCCTGCCCGCCCGCCCATCAGCCTCCGCACCACCTGGGAGGAGGCAACACCTCAGGCAGGCTCAGGCTTTACACACTGCTTGTTCTCAGAGAGGGTGCACTTTACCTGGCCCTCCTACACTGCTGCAGATAGGTTGAGACCTCCAACACTGGCCACCATGAGGGGAGAGGAGATGGAATCCCTGGATCAAAGTAACCTTAGGTGAGACTCTCCTCCATGTAGCCACAGTAACCATTTCTTCTTCCAAGTTCAGATCACATTGGGTAGTTTGAGAGGGGAGATAGGGCAATGAAAGAGATAGGAACAATCAGCCCTCTGCACAACAGAGGCCTCTTTTGGATGCTCATTGTCTAGAAAGCTCTTGGGAGATGCAGTCTTAACTAGGAGGAACATAGTGGGGTTCACTGAGAGGATACTTCTGTCTTTGTGGTCCCCATTCCTAAACTACTGAATCACACTAATCTTACTTCTGAGCTACCCAGAGAGGACGACCTGAATCTTTGGAAGACCTAGGACATCCCAAATACTGACATCTAGAAATGCCTTCCCAGCCCCTACACCTACATTTGTTTCCATCCTTGTCTTGCCAGCAGCATTCTTGGCTCAGCTACCTTCAGTCCTTGCCATGATCTATGGAGGTCCCATCTCTCCAACTGAGCCAGACCACAGCTAACCAGTCTGGCATCCAGCCCTCACCACCAAGGGCAGTCTGGGAAACTACTTTCAGCTGTAACAAGGAGGGGGTCTCTGCAGGGAAGAGAGCCCAGCCCTCATTTGCCAGCTGTCGCCAAACTTGGCTCCCTCTTGGGCCAACGGACTTGCAAAAGACAACAGCTTAAGGAAGCTTAGAAAATAAGGGGAGACTTTGTTTTCCTCGGATTATAAGAGACCCACCCCACTTCCTTGGCCTTTATTAAAAGCTTTGAAGTAGCTCCACAAAGCTCTGGGAGTTATCAAAAAGTTTTGCGCGACACAAAAATCAAGAAACACTACATCAATGTGGATGGAAACAAATGTAGCCCCCCCAGCAACAGTGATGAGCAGAGCAAGTTACAACTTGCACAGGTGAATCAAAAAGGACAGTGTTGATTATGTTTCTTGGAAGTGAAATAATGGACCATAATGAAGTCTGTCTCAAAACTTTTGCAGTGACCCACGTATGTGCTAAGGCAAGAACCTGAGCACCAAGAAAGGCAAAGCATGAGATGCCCTAAGAATGGACATCAGGGGACAAAGCACACCCAGGTTCTATAGCCCTGAAGCCTATATCCTGAGGCAGAAGGAAGTTCCTCACTGAGCTAAACAGCCCAGCCAAGAGCCATGGGCTTTTTTAAGCCAGTGTTCTCCTGCTTCTCTAAATGCTTTAAAGTGACTTTAGTGCCTTTACTTTTTTTGAGTCCAGAAGTCCCTCACCTGGGTCCCTTCCCTCCACAGTCCTTTCTTACCCCTTGTGCCCTAATCCAGGACCAAACTAGCTCAGATTCCTGAAGGGCCCTGAGGACAGACCTATAGTCCTACAGAGAAATAAAATAAGAATGAAGGTAAGAATTACATTCTGAGTCTGCTAAGTGGTCCCAATAGTCCAGAGCTGCAAGGATGTTCTGTTACACCAACCTGATAAGACACTGAATATTAGAGATGGGATTTAGAGATTGTTTAGAAACATTTCATAGATGAGGAAACAGAGAGGTCTTGAGATATGGAACTTACCTAGGATCACATGACAGAGTTTAAGAAGATATAACCCATACATGAAACCCATGGGCTCTCTACACTGTATCACACTGCTTTCTCAAGAGTGACCCAAATATTCAAGGCTACCATACATAACTTAGAGCAGTGGTTCTCAACCTTCCTAATGCTGCAGCCCTTTAATACAATTCTGGTGGGTCACCACACACAGGTTGAGAACCGCTGACTAAGAGGAACCCAAGCAAGAAATTACTACCAACAGCATCACCCAATATTCTATCTCCCATTGACGAGTAAAGGCTTCTGGTTCAAGGTCTCCATCACCTCCCACTTGCACCCAGTACATTTCCCTATTTTGGCCCACAGAGTTATCCCTCAACAATAGCAGCTTGGGTTTTTGCAGCCCCTGGCTCAACCAAGAAGTACAAAACCTGACCACTTCTGAAGTGGGTCCCTTGTAGGTCAAAAAAGGAACCATTGATGTCCATGGCAAGTGTCCCACCTAGATTCAGAGTTGGAGGAATTCACATTTCCATTTTCTTCCTTGGCAAGTAGGAGCTGGAGATCTGGTGCATGATCACCAGGGCTGGATAGAGGGGCAGTGCCAGGCACAGGTACCAAGCTGCACCTTTGATCTGGGCCTGAAACCACACTGAGTACATGCCCAGCAGCACCGTTACTGTAGCCATCAGGTAGACCACCAGTCCACAGGTCAGATGGTAGAGCTTGAGGCGAGCCACCCTCGAGACCCTGGCTGCCCGGGGACAGAGGAGGCAGAGCCCACACAGTGCCTGGCCACCGGTGGCCAGCAGTGTCAGGGCTCCCACCCAGCTGTGCCAGGACACCAGATGGGGTAGCTCACTGCGGGTCCTACTGGAGATGATGAAGCCCAGGCCGAGGGCTGCACAGAGGATGGCTAGAGTCTGCCCTGCCCAGTGAAGCCGGATCCGAGCCTTTCGGGAACAGAAGAAGAACGGGGAGTGCTCAGGCGAGAAGAGTAGGATGGCCTCAGCCATGCAGAGGCAGAACTGTGAACATAGAGAGGTCCAATAAGCCTCAGGTCTGGCTTGGGGGCCTGAGAAAAAGTAGGTGTTCTTCTACAACCCAAGAAGGAGGACAGGAGTAGGGGCAAAAGAACTTCCTCCAAGACCTCCTTGTCAGCATTTCTGGGAGCAATTGGGAATCAGCATTTGTGTGCAAGTCTTACCATTCAAGCTGACATCCCCACCCCCACCAAGACCTCTACAGACAATGTCTCCCATCTCTTGACCAGGGAAACTGCAAATGTTAAACTTACTCATAAACTAAAGAAGCACTAGGGGAGAAAGAAATCTCTTCTGTGCCCTTCCACCCTTTTCAACCACCAGACTTTCTTCTTTTTTCACCTAAGGCCCAGCCCTCCATAATCCCAAACCCATAGATCGCAGGGAAAGATGGGTTCCTCGCTGTTTCCCCCACCTCTCTGTGCCTTAGGAAGTCTGAGCCTTCTGAAAGCTGGGTGTTTCCCGAGGGGGGAAGCTACACATATCCCAACAAATTAGTTGTAGATAGAAACCCAAACTCACCGCCAAGGCCATGAATACAGGGTGCCACGAGAAAAGACCTAAGAATCAAAGAGAAGAGGCTGACGGCTGGGCACTGTTGTTCCTGTTTCTGTAGCTAGCTAGACCCCAAGACTCCAGCTCAAAGAAGAAAGGTCAGCGTTACCAACCCCAACCCTAAGAGGGAATCAGGAACTCAGGGCAAAGTCGAACAGCCAAGGGGCCTACCCATAACCATACACCAGTTTGGCCTGAGTACCCTTTCAGCTGTCAACCCAGTCCTAGAATAGGCCTCGACCTTCCTTCTCCACTTGTATCCTCCCTCGGGGTCCCTGCTTCTCAAGAAGTAGTCGGTTTGATCTGTTTTATCGTCTGCCTTCTCCCACACAGCCAAAGCCCCACCTTTCCAGAAGCTCCGGGCCCCGCCCCACCAAGCTCTTAAACCCCTCCACTGTCAGCCCCTCCACAGCACCAGGACCCTACCCCGCGTCTCCTAGCTCTCCCAAGCGCTGCCCCGCCGGCATCTCGGCTCCGCCCCCTTCCACGGCCCCACCCCGCCTCGCACACTCACTGGTTCCCGGCCGGGACAGCACAGTCAGAAAGATGGTGAAGCCCAAAGCTACCAGGTGTGCCAAGATCCCACTGCCTCTCCGCAGCCAGCGGGTCAGTCTCGGCTCCCTTGCTGGGGTGGGAACCAGACCTACCTCCAGAGGCTGCATGGCCGTGCCGGACCGGCCCGCACACTCCAGCTGGCAGAACGCGTCTTCCGGGTTTGCAATTGCAGAGGCGGCGGCGGCTGCAGGAGAGGCTCCTCCCCCGGGACGCCGCCGGCAGTGCGGCGGAGTCGCCCACAGCGCCCTCTGGGGGCCGGGGGGGAAGCGCGTGTGTCAGGGAGAGAGGCTCCCAGGAGAGCGCAGGGCCGGAAAGGGACCAGGCAACTCCCAGTCCACCTGCATTTCTGAGTCTACAGGAACTAAATCCCAAGCAGCCCGCGGAAATAACATTTGTGGCAACTGATTTGGATGAAACCCCAAATCACACAGTGGATATGTCGAACCAGTTGTTTTTAGCAGCTTCCTGGTAGTGCTGGATTTATTTCCCTGGCCCCTCACTTTCCTGTCATTTCCTGTCTTGTTAAGGGAACAAAATTCATCCCTGCCTAAAAACAAGAATAAAAGGAGAGGACAAGGCCAAAATATAGCGCCCTACACCTGGTGAATTCAGGTTTGAGGCCCAAAGGAGGGAGACGCAAGTTTCATCTTCTATCTCCACAGTAATTGTCCCCAGTGAGATAAGTAGAACTAGGACATTCCCAGCCCTGCCGCCTCCTCAACAGATGCTCAGCCCTACAGAGCCAGGTGAGCCTGAGGGACCAGGGCATCCCACACCACAAGTTCTGCAAGTGATTATATCTCTTCCCTTCCTGCCTCCAAAAAAGGTGTTCAGCCTAAGGCGGCCTGACTGGTAAAGCCGTACTACCCCAGAACAAACCCACAGGCTGTCAAATAGAAATCAGGGACATCCCAAGCTCCCTAAGTGGTTGAGAAAACGAGGCTACTGGTAAGAGGTGAAAAAATGCAGGAACAATAATGCAGAGAGGGGTGGAAGCCCAAGGCTAGAAAAGAACCAAAAGCCAATTCCCACAGACTCTCAGGGCAAGGGTCCAAGAGGAGTAGCTCCCCATCCCCCTCTCAAGTTTCCCTTCCCAATGGGACTGGAATAGGCTCTGGGGGTCAAAATTCTGGGGAGCCTTGCTCATTAAGAACCACATACCTCATTATCTCATCTGGAGAGAAGACTTTCCCCCAATGATACAAATCCCAGACATGGCCACACTATTTAAAAGGGCACACACAGAGACACACACACACACACACACACTCTGAGGCTAAGAGACTTTTGCAGGGAAGCTATGGGAGCTGGGGTCTGGCTATCATCTCTGCCTCCCAGGGTGGGATTGGGGACATTAGGGACACTCATGTTGTTACTTTTCTCCTTCCTTTTCTATGTTTTCTGTTTTCATATTTTCTTAGCAGCAACAGAACAGGGAGACAGTCTTGAGGTATTTTAAAGAATTTTTTTTCTTAAAAAAAATAATATAAAGTTATAAAAAGCGGCAGCAGCCTGGGGCCCAGATCTGGAGGGGAGGAGGTGCTGGCGGCTCCGTTGCAGTGGGCAGGCACTTTCTCATTAATGGGCTTTTGACTGTAGGAAAACAAGAGGCAAGAGATAGGGTCAGGGTGGGAACCTACCAGTTATCCTAACCAGTGGACCGTATGGACTATAAGAGCTAAAACCTGATTTCCTTCTGCTAGCCTCATGAGAGTAAAACTAAGCAAGGTAGAAGACGAATGCCAGCCCAACAGTGAAGAGCTGGGTAGTGAAGCTGGGGAGCATACAGAGGTTAGATCCATGCCTGACCAAGACAGCTTCCCTCCATTCCACCTCTGGTAAGTCCCTCCTGGCTGAGATCATATGGATAGCCCATGGTACTCCAGGGATTCCAACAGAAGAGGCAAATAACCCTGGTTGCAGGCTTCACCTGAAAACCTAGAGCCGAGCAGATGTGTGAGGTGGGTGTGCACACACCTGGGGATCTTGAGATACACCCCTGCCCTTCAGTGCCCTGATGCCCAGAGGAAGAACCAATGAGCAAGGTGAACCCACCCACCTTGCTGCTCAGGCTAGGCCGTGGCTCAGGAACACAAACTCCCTTTCCTTCAAGGGACAGAGGTAGTTTCAGTACCTACAGTGAGGGCCATAGCCAATTCAGAACGAAGTGGCCTTTTGGTACAAGCAAAAGCAGGGGTGGAGAAGCGTGGCAGGAAGAGGGCTGGGAATAGGGGAAGGTCCACCAGGCAAACACAGGTTACCCTGTGAAGACCTGACCTAAAGGAGATAGTCCAGGAACTCTCTCAACTTCCCCTTTCTCCCCTTCCCTGCACATCGACTTAGCACCTTCTTTGTGCCAGATACCCACTGTGCACCCCACTCCCATCCATCTTCAGGGAGCTTGGCTGGTACCTTCAGTGTAGAGCACTTCTCCTCAAAGGCCAGGGCTGAGCCCGGCTTCTTGCGCCGCACAGAGCAGGCCACATCGGCAGGGGCACCAGCCTGACAGTGCTTGGCCTTCACTGGCCGGCAGTAAGTGGCCAGGTTTTTACGCTTCTTGGCTACCTCCTCCTCAGAGAGGCAGTTGGTTGGCAGAGCCTTGGCTGGGTGTCCAGCTACTCCCCGGTTCTCCAGCTGAGAAGCCTTGACTGGTGTGGAGGATTGATGAGGGGAACCGCGGCAGTCCAAGGGCCCTGCCCGCTTCACTCTTGGCCCCACTGTCCCATTAAGCCCCATGCTCAGGGCTGTTTTAGTCTTGGCTGAGAGACCCCGGCAGCCAGAGGATTTGCCTTTTCCAGTGGGCTCCAGAATGCAGGTCCGTTTGAAAGTGGTGGGGCCAGGGGATAACTTCCGCTTCCGAGAAGGGGCTTCCATCTCTGCCCCATCCTTGGCTTTGGATGACTTGCTGGCCTTGGAAGGTGGCAGCTTGCTGAAGGATGGAGATGGCGTGTTGGCAGGCAGTGGTGAGGTGATAGCCTGACTCCCGCCCATGCACTCCGCCTGGCTGCAGGCAGCTGCCACACTGGGGGAGCCTGCAGGGTAGCTGGGGACAAAGCTGTCCTTGGTGGGGGGTGTGGAGGCTGGGCAGGCAGGTCTGGGGTGTAGGCCTGGAAGGCGGGGGCAACTGCCCATAGAAGATGGGCTCAGGGGAGCAGATAAGGGGGAACTGACAAGATGGGATGGAGGTTCAGCTGCTGGTGGGATCTTCCTGCAGGAAAAAAGAGAGCCCCACTGTGACTACAAAGCAAACAAGAGGGGCTTCCCCCAAACACACTAATCCCTCTGCCCCACCTAGAAATGGCCAGCAGAGTTTCAGTTGCTGCCATCTACTGGGAGATGCTGGAACTGAGGGTTAGGAAGAAGGCACAGACATAGAAAGGAATGAACTACTAGTACATAAAGTGAACTAGTAGGAAAACCCATTAAGAACCTCATTTTAAATCTTAGTTTGGAAATCCCTTATCCCTCATTACCCAAAAGGTACTAGAAGTAAAGGATAAGCATCTAGATTCATCCCCAGACCACCAATTCATGCCCTGCCTTAGCATATCTCCTGGCTGCTAAGTTTTCCCACCCCCTCTTTGTGTCACTTCCCATCTGGGGTCTTCTTGGCAAATAGCCAAGACACACTTATGGGGCTGTGTGAAGGATCAGGGTCTCTAAAGCCCATGTACGCCTAGGGCCTGGAAAGGAAGTTCTGGGCCTGAGAGACTCACTTCCACATGTGTGAGCTGAGATGCCGTTCCAGCATGGAGCTGAGTGCTGAACAGAACCGGTCCAGCCGGCGGCTAAACACATAACATCCTGGGCTCACCAGCCGGCTCCCAAAGGTACAGAACTGGAGGTGAAAGGAAGGAATATAGTTTGCAGGGCCTGAGATGCAGAAGGGCATCTGCACACAGGATCTGACCTCCTCCCTACAATGGGGGCCAAGAGGGCTGGGCCACCCCCTACCCCAGCCCTCTGCCCCAAGTCCTTACCGCCTGAGGCCGTGGGGGCCGGGTTGCATAATGGCAGTCAGGGGGGAGGTGGAGGTCATCAGATGTTCCCTCCTCCTCACTCTCCTCGCTGGAGGCCTGGGCCCCACCCCGGGGCAGGGGAAAAGGGAATAGGCCTGGGTCCCCATCACCACCACAGGGGCCTTCATCATCCAGCTCACTCTCAGAGGAAGCCTGGGACCTGGAAGGGCCAAAGGGGATGTGAGGACAACGTGACTGGTGTGGGGTCAGGGTAGGGGTGTCCCTGAACCCACCAAGTTCAAAAAGCAGGGCACCAGGGCAGATACCCTGCCGGGCAATCAGAGGAAGAAGACAGAGGGAAGGATAGGAGGAAATGATAGAGCTCACAGAGTGAGAGACCAGGGGCCACAGCTCCCAAGGGATTTTTCTCCCCAGCCCCTTCACTTCCCAGACCCTTCCTCCTCAGGGGGAAAATCTGCTCCAGATTCGCCTCCTCCAGAAAATCTTCCGAGTTTAACTGTACCCAGCTCTGGTCAGCCCAGTCAACTCTCTCAACCCCCTTCTTGCATCACATATTCCTGTGAGCCTGTCTGTGAGCTGAGCCTGTGTTTCGTGTCTGCCCCTCGTGTGACAGGCAGAGATGCGTGTGAGTCTCCTTCGGCAAGGCAGGCTCTCCCCCGGGGTCCAGCGTAGCCTCTGCACACGAAGGGGCCATTGAATGAATACACAGTAGGACTATCTCACCCAGGACCATGACCCTTTCGGCTCCCCAGTGACAAGTTTTGGCGTGTTGGAGGCAGCTAGGAAAATGTTGGTATCCCAGGTATTGGATCTGGCATACTACAGAAAGGCAGGGTTACTGTGGTATGGTTGGTTAGGAATAGGGGAGTCACCTGCTTCCACACCACTGCCAGGAGCCCCAGGTATCCCCCCATACTCAGGGGCTGAGTGGCTACATCTTCTAGGACACTCTCTGAGGCTATCTCCAGGGGTCCCTAATGGCTTAGGGGCCAAGTATCCCCAGGTGAAGTGGGGTTGGATCTCAGACGTACCTGGGCAGTGCACAGTATGGGTAGATCTGCTTGGCACGAGCAGAGAAGGTGCTGGGAGCAGCCACCGCTGCCAGAACCTGGACTGAGGAAGGGAGTTCCTGGGAGGGGCGCTCCAGAACTTGCTCCTTGCGCCCTGGGCTCTTTTCCTTGGGAGACTCCCCCTTTCGAGAGTTGGCCTTCAGCTCTGCTACTAA